CGCGGTGGTGTGCTGTCCTTGTCTTTGTTAGCCTGCAAATGCGGAAAGTTTAAATTTTCATTGTCAACTCTTTCCAAAGTTTAGATCATATTTAGTAATTGGAAAAGAACAACGAATGCAAAGCAATATATGTTTGACAAAGCATACTCAAAACGTAGCACTTGCAAAATCAGAGCAGATCGAAAGGAGTCCTTCGTTGCCATTTCGGCGATCGCTTTTACCTTGGACTGGGCGAATCCTTGACGCCTAAGACGGGTTGCCTGTGGGTGTTTTTTGGTCTGAGTTTAGTAATGCCAAACATAGAGATGTGCACTAGGGGAGGGTGCTTGGAGTTCGGTAGGCTTTTCCATACACAAATGGGATTATATTGCTGGCATCTACCAAGGATAAGGTGGTGTCACAATCTCAGCTTTTGCATATATATTTTCCAGTAGAATATAAGTTTCTCTTTGGCAATTTGAAAAGCAGTGTTTGCCCTATTGTATTATTATTATATTGGAAGTGGGGACGTTGATTTTAAAACTTTTCCAATAGTCACAAAAGGTCAAACAGTCCCACATTTTGGAGAAAGTCTAAAAAAAATCTATTTTAGCTTAACATTGTAACTTAAATTCTAAAAGGCTTCCCAAAAACAAAAATCTTACAATTTAAAATAAAAACGAGTTTCAATCTACTTTAAAAAACACTAAATAATACTCCATTATCGTTATCATTAACACTTTAGTTAATTAGTGAGAAGTGGTTTCTATTTTTGACTTCTGTAAAATTAAATGTAAAACATTTTCGTCTAAAATCACAAATACAATAAAATCTTAAATATTCTTAAAAAAAAATATCGGAAACGGATATTTTTTCAAAACTTGAGTTTTGTGCCACTGAAAGTTGTGGCTTAAACATGTATTGATATATTGAAAATAAATCTTCTCAAAAAAAATTGTTTAATTAGAATCGGCGAACATGGCAAAGTGCTGTTTGGCTTGTCAAGTACTTTGTATAGATTTCTGATTCGATTCGTTATCCAAATGACACACACTCACTTCACAATTGGCAACACTGAGAATCTAATTGGTGTTGGTCAATCTAACTTGCAAAGGAGAGGGGTGATAATAACACACATCATTTGCACTGATAAGATTAGATAAAGTTAAGGAAGTGTAGTGCTTTTTATAGAGTACTAATTACATACACACACTACGACAATGTACGATTAAGCATTACTCTAAGGTTTACGCCAAAATAACAGTTCACATGCGTAAGGTAATAGGTGAAAGAGAGAGATAGAGAAAGTGGTAGTGTGGTGGGTGTAAGGTGTTTTGGCACAACTCTACTCACCTCACTACTGAGTGGAACACCGCCGCTGGTCACCACAATTGGTATGGTCGCCGTTGTGGTTGTTGTTGCTGCTCCAACTGTTGCTGTTGTTGTTGTACTTAAGTTACTGTTACTCTCTTTGATACCGTTAGTGGCAGATGCCGGTATGACTATGTTGTTGCTGCTGCTGCTACTGTTGTTGTTTGAGGCCGTTTCGTTTTTTGATTCTGCCGCTGAAACTGTGTTTGTTGTTGTTGTTCCGACTGCTCCTCCTACCGTTGCTGTTGTTGTTTCTGCTGCTGGCGCCGCTTGCGACGTACTGCTTTTTGTTGTTGGTTCTAACGCCTCGTTATCCATAATACGCAATCGGTTCTTTTGGCTCTTTGGATGTGCTCTTTTTTTTCGAAGAAAAAACCAATGAAAACCAGCAAGAAAACGAAAAAACGTAAACAACCGGACAAACAAACAAATACAACAGCCGGGCGCTGGACCGCTCTCAATTGATTGTTATCTGAAAATTATATTTGCACTGTGGAGTGTCGAAAGAAAGAAATTAACATAGCAATAACTAAAAGAAAAATAACAACACCATGCAATTAAAGCCCAAAAAACACACTCAAACTCACACACATACATTATTATTACAAATATAGAGGAACCTACTTAAATTAACTATTATTAAAAATTCGAACAATCTTCCATTTTTTCTTTATCTATGACAAAATCAAGTTGTAAATTCCAATATATTTTTTTTTTAGAGATTAGGTTAGCTGAATGTGTATAGATTGTTTTTTATGTTCATGAAAACGTATACCTTGAATTACTGAATAATTTTCGATATAGAGGTTAAAAAATTTTAATTTAGTCCAAATCGAAAATTGGTAAGATAATAATTTTAAAGTTTCTACTACTTTTCAATTATATATTTTTTGGGTATTCCCAAAACGTCTGAATCTCTAAATTTCTGAAAATTCAGCAGAAATATGCTGAAAATTTTCAGCAGCCAATGAGTTGCTGAACTGCTGAAATTTCAGTAAGTTGAATTTTTTTGGAACAGTTGACCGAATTTTGATATATTTCTGCTGAATATTCAGAATATTCAGAGATTCAGACGTTTCGGAAAATATTTAAAAATATATTTTTGTTTTATTTTTTAAGAGCATGCCAGTGCTTCTATCATGTTAACCGCTACTGTAAACGCAGTACCAATGAGAAACGGAGCAACCTTTGAGAATCTCTAGCTGCGCGCTTTCCAATTGGAATTGCCTTAATGGCGGAAAACCGCTTCGAATCGGAGAACCAAAGTTGTCACAAGAAGTCCCAAAAGAAGTCTAGTCTCTAGCATAGCAAATCCGGTTCTAAACGGTACCACAACACAAACACGTTCATGCATCGTTCCCCGATTAATGCTGTAACTTCCAATTCAACAGGTGGAGGTGTGGATTTTGGATTCGGATTTATTAAAAAATGTTACGGCTTTACACTTTTTTCGCACAAAACTTGCACTTAAACGGAAATAAATAACAAAAATTCCAAAACACTCGCGGGAGTGAGCGTGCGAGACATTAGAGAGCAAAAGAGAGAGATGCGAGGGACGAGCAACAAGTTGCGAAGCAATGGCCGTCGACCAATTGCCAGGGTTGCCAGGCATGCCAAGAAAAATGGGGGAAGAAGAGCGCTTTTGGGTGGTGTTTTTTTTTCTTTTTTCTTTAGAGGTGCAAGGATGGGCATTCTTCAACACAAACATTGTTAATGCACTGAGCAAATACTCATACATATTCACAGAAGGGGTACAAAGGAATGGGTCAGCAATAGACAGAGAGAGAGCGTAAAAATAAAATGTGTACTAGGCATAATTAATGTTGTAGTTGCACTTCCTTCTCTCCAAGACCCAAACACACAATAAATATATAAGGGAAAAACGATTAAAACTTTGAATGTCAAGGGGCGAGGTTGGTTTGGGTTATTTCACTTTTTTTAAGGGGGATATTTGGACTACATTGCCAATTTACCGCCAGAAGCTGCAAGAACTTGTTCAATTTGCCCTTGCTGCGATATAGGTTCGCCAACATCAAATTCACTGGTGATAAAAGCTTGTTCTTTACGTAAAATGCGAATTCTAACAAAAACGCTTGCACACGCACACAGTATCACAATCTCGCACACACTCTCACACCGCTCTCGCGTTAAGATTTTCGTCGAGGCTACGAATTTTTTGCGCTGCAATTTCTTCGATCGCTGCGATTTGATTTTCGCGTGCGAATTTCACAAGGCTCGCTCGCGAATTTCACACCCAATTGTTCGGCGGACTATCGGCACCGGGGTCAAGTTCACCTTTTCGCTGAGAACGCACAACATCAACGGCCTGGGCTATTGTAAATAGTAATTTATGTAAACTGTTTTATTCACGCAACGTTGTCGGTGCTCAATAGAAAATAGAGTTGCCAGGGCTGAAGGCAAATGGCGAGGCTGCCAGACTTTTTCGGCTTTCGATAGTTTTTTTTAAGTTTCTTATTTTAACCCTTATTAAAACCTCAAAATGGCTTACGATTAATTATAAACTTAACATTTAATTCAACTGAGATTTAAATTTTTAAAAAACCAGGGCTTTTGCGGCATCGATAGGTTTATAAAAGTTTATTTATACGAACATAATAAAAGTAAAAAAACTTATTTTAAATTAATATATCATTACCTTATTTCAGCTCACTTAAGATCTAAAGCTTTTGAATATGTAAAACCAGGGGTCGGTGACTTTCGATAGTTTTATAAATAAATGTATTATCACAAATTTTATAAGAAATATTTAAACACTGCTGAAAAACTTACAAGTATACAGACAAATAAACCTTAATTGTTTGTGACAGAGCTGGGTAGACCCAAGGCCCACATTAGCCTTGAATTTAGTTTATAAGCTTTAATAACTTTATTTTCTTGTCACTTACCAGGGCTCCTCATACTGATTGCAATTTCTGGCAACTCCCACCAGGTGGCAACGATATAGCCAGATTGTTTATATTGCTTGTGAGCCGAATTCCTTATTTTGTATTAACATTTTGGCATTTGCTATGCAGATCACAATCAAAGTGCTCAAGGGCAAGGACTGCACGCTCGAAGTAACCTTTAACTATTGCCCTAAACAGGAAAATCGTTGATTAATGTGTACATTTCTCATGTAGGTCTCGCCGACATCCACGATTCTCGAAGTGAAACAACAAATCGAAGCGGAACTCCAAATATCGGCGGCCAATCAAAAGTTATTGCTACTGGGACGTCCTTTAAGCAATGAGCAGATAATTGCATCCTATCCTAATATCAAAGAGGGCACAAAGCTTAATCTGGTGGTGATGAAACCCAGCCTGAGGGACAGCATTCTTCGGGGATTCCGGAAGCACTATCCGGAAAACCTGGCGGAGCGACTAACCAACGAGTTTATGGCCGACTTTGAGAGGAAAATTAACGAACAAAGCCTGGACGATTTGGAGAGATTGGCAGATAGTATAGTCAGCAGAGCGGGCACATAGTCATAGGCACCCAAAAACCCACCCAGCATGACGGAAGTCTATTATCCTCACCCCATTGTTTTTATTTCCCCCACAAAACGAGGTAGTAAAAATTAAGACTTGACTGAAAAGAACAACCCATTTTATTTTGGACGGCGGTCTGGCAACTCTGCCCCCTGGTGCAGTTTTTAATTGTGTGTATGTGTATAAGTGTGTGAGAAGAAGAGAGGAGAAATGCGTCTGCTGTCGTGCAAATTCCTTGGTCGAGTTGTGAACTCGTCGCTGCCCCAACAAATTACTTCGCTGCGATCTTTTACCAGAACTGTTCCAGCAATGGTGAAAGTAAGTGGGGGTTACCGGAAAACCACCAGTTTTGTGCTGGCAAAGGGCCCATTACATAAGCCGGTGGGGCGAACTGCACAAATATTGATTGCGGCTAGTGAGAAATTGCAACGCTTCAAGGTTACCGCACGGTCTTTTTTCTAAATGTGTGTTTTTGGGAATTCTAGGTAGGAGACACCCTGCCCACAGTGGATCTCTTTGAGGATTCGCCAGCCAATAAGATCAACACAGGGGATCTGGTAAACGGCAAGAAAGTAATCATATTCGGCGTACCTGGCGCATTTACCCCCGGCTGTTCTAAGGTACGTAATACTAATACTTTCCCCACAACAATTTCTGCACAGGGAAAAATGTTAATGATATAATATCAATTTCATAAAAACACATATCGGCTTTATTCAGATACATATGTATGTCTTTCAAATTAAAATGTAAGCCATGTTTAAAAGCGGACAAAAAAATGTATAATACAAATGTATCAATCAACGTTTTACTTGTAAGGTACTAAAATCTTGTTAGTCATTAAAAAAAACTATACATTTTTTTATAAATTCCAAAAATTACTGCCGAGTTTCAATACCAATTTAAGAAGTTTGGCTAAATTGATCTTTTTCTTCCAAAACATTGTAATTTCTTCACCACTTAACAAAACTGAATTTTAAATTTTCCTAACCCGCAGACCCATTTGCCCGGCTATGTGAGCTCCGCCGACGAGCTAAAGTCCAAGCAGGGCGTGGACGAGATCGTCTGCGTTTCGGTAAACGATCCCTTTGTGATGTCCGCCTGGGGCAAGGAGCACGGTGCCGCTGGAAAAGTACGCCTCCTGGCCGACCCTGCTGGTGGGTTCACCAAGGCCCTGGACGTGACCATCGATTTGCCACCACTTGGTGGCGTGCGCTCTAAGCGCTACTCCCTTGTCGTCGAGAACGGCAAGGTGACCGAGCTGAATGTCGAGCCCGATGGCACCGGACTCAGCTGCTCGCTGGCCAACAATATTGGCAAGAAGTAAATGGATTCCAGTCTCCCAAAAACGCTAGAAACTCATACAGTAATTCAAGGCCGCAATTATATCAATAACGTCTTCAAAAGAACTATGTAGCACGTACAATATATGAGATTAGAGATGTTATGTCTAGTTGTTTGCTTTAATATCTAGTTGTGGGCTTAGTCTTTAATCTTATCTCAGAGTTAGCGGTTGTCAGTATTCGGGGCGATCTTCTGCGACAACAGTTTGCCATAGCCGCCTCGTCCGGCGTCGTAATCCGTGCGATATTCGTCACGCACCTGGCCGCCGGTTTTTCCGCGTCCATATTGCCTGCCCTCAATGAAACCGGCGTCCCAGTCTACTCGAATCAGTCGATCATCTAAGCGGGTGCCATTCACAAATCTATTGGGGGGAGCAAGGAAAAAAAATACATTAGAAGGACGCAAACCTTCAAGCTCAACTTTTAATATACATATAAAATAGTTTGGGTGGAACATGTTGCACTCTGGCAGAGTATTTGAATTTAATTAAATATAATCATACCGTTTTCCCGCCATTTTTTTCGGTTTAATAGCTACTTAAAATTATAATGTTAATTTTTATTTTTTTGAAGAATTTAAAAAACAAGGCAGAAACTTTGACATGTCTTGAGAAAGATCAAAAAGGAACTATATTTTTTCTTCGTATATCGTAGAGGACAAGAAACTTGAAATGTTGTCGATTTATAAAGATTAAAAATAAATGACAAGTCTTTCCATTGAATAATAATATTGCTCAATGTGAAATAAGTTGTAGTAGTTTACCGGAAATGACTGCAATAACTAAAATGAAATTAGTCTAGTAAAATATGCAATTTGCTTCTGGCTAACAAGATACATATAGTCGATAGGAATAGACTTTTAGGACTGTGTACTCCTAGGTACTGCCCCAGATCTTAAAAAGTTCCGTAAACAATGTGGCTTTTCCTCTGGAGGAATTGGCTCACCTCATGGCCGACTCCGCCTCGGACCTTATGTAGTATTCCACAAAACAGAAACCACAGGGCGTCTTCTTGTACTTGTCCAAACCCATTACTATTACCCGGACATCGCCGCATCGCGAGAATAGTTCGTGGATCTGCTCCTCAGTCGTGTAGAAGCTCAGATTTCCCACATACAGTGTACACGAGTCGCGGAGCGATCTTTCTTGCTCCGACCGAGAGCCCTGAAATTTGGTTATAGTGTTAGGATTTGGTGGACTGGCCCTGGGATATACTCACCTTGAAGTGCTGATCGCGATACGAGCTAAGTTCCACGGATGTGGTCATATTTTCGGCTATAAACGAATGAAATATTTTCTACGCTTTTATTTAGTGGCGGCAGTCCAGCGATTTATTTTTCGATAAATATGCTGGTATTTCCCTTTCCCTCGCTTGCTGTGACCAGTTCACTTGCAGTATCTACCGTTTGCCAGAAACTGTGATCCTATTCGATAGTTGCTATTCAACAAAATAAATGAAAATAAAAATGTATATGTACTCAGCGCAAATGGTTTATATTTAAAATATATTTTAAAATGCCTCTGCAATATGCAAATTTTATTATAATTGTTATTATTTGTGCCGGGTAATTTGCTTACGTAGTCTCGATATATATAATATTAGCGAATGCGATCTATACAGTGTTTACCTTTTGGTATATCCGCTACGCGTTAGTACATTTCTAAATCACTGCTGCTTCGCAAAGACATTTTACGGCCCGTTGTTATTATTATTTTTATGGATTCTACAAATCATACTTAATGAACACCTCACTCAATTCTGCAGGCAGCAAGCGGCAGCTGCGCTTCCGCGGCGACGTTACCGGCAGTCGAGTGGAGGAACTGCATCATCACCAGGAGGAGATTAAGCAAAAGGCGCTCGCCCAGGATGACGTTGCAGCGACGCCGAGTGCGACGCAGAGCGGTAAACATGGATTTTATTTTGCGAACAATATAGTTTAAATATATTCAAGCTTTGTATTACGATGTAAGCATCAGAAAACAATAATTTTTTTTTTCGGTTTGATACAAAAATTAATAGTACCCAATTTAAGATATCTGTTAGAAATATAGATACAACGTACATATTTCTAAGAAGATGCGTTATATGATTAAGATTTTGTAATACATAGGGTTAAAAACATACATATATTAGCCTTTAGTTTTTTTTATAGTCCAAAACACTATTTTTCATTTCTTTAATTTAAACTAAGTTTTCAGTGAACACTTTTTTATAACCCACAGAGACCTGCACCAACACATTCTACGACTTCTTCAAGGTGGAGATGACCCGCGGCTATATGCTGGAGCACGATGAGGAGCGCTATTCGGCGCGGCGGCAGAAGATCTACAGCTTTATGCGCATACCACGGGATCTGGAGCGGTTCATGGTGTACGGAATCATGCAGTGTGCCGACTCCTTCCTCTACATTCACACCTTTCTGCCCGTCCGATTTCTAATGGCCATTTGGGCCTTGGTTTCCCGGACTGTTGCGCGGATTTTTCGCCTTCGCAGCACCGGACAGCGCCTATTGTCGCCAGCGGAAATCTGCGATCTGCTCAAGGGCGTCATCTGGATGTCGGTAACGTTGATAATGCTCCTGGTGGATACGAATCGAGTGTACCACATCATAAAGTCGCAGTCAATCATCAAGCTGTACATATTCTATAACATGCTGGAGGTAGGCGATAGGCTGTTGTCCGCTTTTGGTCAGGATACCATTGATGCTCTGTTCTGGACGGCCACCGAACCGAAGAATTCCAAGCGGGAACACTTTGGAGTCCTCACACACGTTCTCTTCACCCTAATCTATGTGTTTTTGCACAGCGGACTGATCATGTTCCAGGTTGGTAATAGTAAGGATCCTAGTTCCGTATTTGAACTATTAATACTAATCGATGAATTTCTCTTTTAGGCCACCTGTTTGAATGTGGCAGTGAACTCTAACAACAAGGGCCTGCTGACCATTATGATATCAAACAACTTCGTTGAGCTCAAGGGATCCGTGTTTAAGAAGTTCGACAAGAACAACCTCTTTCAGCTTACCTGCAGCGATGTTCGGGAGCGCTTCCACCTGTCCGTGCTGCTATTTATTGTGGTGATCCAGACTATGAAGGAGTTCGACTGGAGCATCACCCAGTTCTGTGTGATGCTGCCCGATTGTTTTGCCGTGCTATTTACTGAAATCTTAATTGATTGGGTGAAGCATGCGTTTATCACGAGATTCAATGAGCTGCCGGAGAGCATCTATAGGGAGTACACGACCAGTCTGGCCTACGATATGACCCAGACACGACAGAAGCACGCTTTTTCGGATCACTCGGATTTGGTGGCCCGTCGCATGGGCTTTATACCATTCCCCCTGGCGGTGGTCTTGATAAAAGCGATCTATACGGCGGTTTCATTCGAAAACCTTGCCGCCTGGCTACTCTTCCTGCTGGCCTATCTGTTTGCCATGGGCCTGCGAATCTGCTTGACCATCTGTGCGCTTGGCAAGGCCTGTAAACTGATGAAGGAGCACCAAACAGAGCGGAATAGTTCAACGCCGAGTAGCATGACCAATGTGCCCGTTATAGGAGCAGCTGCCCCGGTCTCAACGTCTTCGATGGGCGGACCGACTCACAATAATAATAATAACAATAGCATTGGCTCGAAGCCAGCACAAGTGACCACATTGGTGACACCGCCCAGTGTCGTCAATCTCGATGTGAGTCACAATTTCTCGCGGGCCTCAATCGCCTCCACGTCCACGCCAAAGAAAGCGGTCAGTGAGCAGGAGCTGGATGTTACCAACTCCCTGGAACTGGGCGCCACAGCTCTCTTCTCGAACAGTGATGTGGACTTAGATGATGTTTGCCTCAACGAGCAGGTGACCAACACTAATCCGGGCCCATCCATCCAGGAGGTTTACCAGGAGCAGGACCTGGTGCGCAGCCAGCCGGATCTGATGCTGCTAAACGATTCCGCTGGCGGAGAGGCGAGCCTCAAGGCCAAGCAGACGACTCAGCGGCTGCCCAAGCGAACGCACAAGCGGTCCGAGTCGGAGCCAGGCATTCCCAGTCTGGTGGAGAAGGGAGCAACTTCTGGACTCGCGGGTGGCAACCAAACGACACAGCTGTAGCCATAAATTGATGCTAATTTAATTTTATATTTGATTTTATCTTGTACGTAGTTGCGTCTATAATCTTTTGTGTATCGCTTAGTTGCTCTTGCGTAAATTTAAGTGAACAAGGATTAAAAATGTATTTTAGGTTTTAGCTCAAAATATGTTCTCTCTAGAATATCAAACTGTGCCTCAAAATCCTTTACATGGTGTGCCCTAACTTGATTAACAAGTTTTTGGGGATTTGCAATTAAACCTACCATTTTGGCTGTTATTGAGCACTTTAAGTAATAAAATATTGAAGATTTTGTCTACAAAATTGTTTATTGTCAAGAGGTGTAAAGTTAAATGGAATGAAACTGTAGAGTTCTAAATTTATTAAATTATTAAGTTTATTAGGTAAAGAATGTGGATTTTAAATTGTTAATCAATGGAAAACACTATTTATCTTTGTATATCATATATTTCGCACTGAGCCACATAACGGCAACATATAAATTCGAAACTATCTTCTACATAGATATAGAACAAATAGGATTTTTCGTTACACATTATATCATTTTTATAGTCTTATCTTCAGTCAAATGTTTGCAACGCAGTGAGGGAGACATTCTCGAGCCTATATATATTTTTAATCTGCATCAATAGAGAGTTGATATAGCTTTCCGTCCGATGCCGGGTTGTCTGCTGGACGAGCAAAAGATTGGATGTCGAGTGATGGACATAAGAAAGAGGGCTCTTCCGGAGCAGAATGAGGAAATAAAACCAACAACGGCCACCAAAAACCATAGCATCGTCCTAAATTGAGCCCTAGAGTTTTATGTGATTAAAGTAGTTAGTTGGTATACATGATGATAATAAACCCTGTCTTATACATATATATATGTATTCTAAGAATTATGTATTCAATAACAAAATATTGGTAATTTAATGGTTAACTAAGATTAACACATTATTTAATTACATATATGTTGTTTTATTTCTATTGTTATGACCTGGAAAATAATTTTAGACATATTATATATCTGGTATGCATATTTATCAATTATTCTATGGCATAACTTTATTTTACAAATTTGTCGTCATACATATTTTATTTCTGTTATATAGTTCTTATTTACAAACACCTGAGGCTTCTTTTATCATTTAATATCTCGTTACGTAAGAGAATTGATTTAAAAACCATTATATATGTATATTATGTATATAGTTTGCAGCATAACCTTTACCATCTATAGTCCGATACCAAACCATGTTTAGATCACTAAGTTTACTGCAAATTCCTAGAGGCAAAAATGGCTTTCAGCTTCACATGAAATTGCTTTCTGGATTCACTTCAAAAATTGTTTTTGGGCCCAAACGTTTTGTTGAGGGTGGGGGTGCGGGAAAGAGATTAAAGGGGCCGGAGTTTGGTAGCCCCCAGTTGATTTCATGAATGAAAAGGTTTCCCGCTTTGTTTGTGTTTGCACGCGTAGAAAAATCAACAAGCTGCAAATGGAGTGCTCGTTAAGCCCACATCCGCAACCGATTCTTGACTCCAAGTCAGAACCACCCCATTCACCACCCCGCTGAGAACTTACACGCGCCATCGATATATATATATATATATATATATATGTACGCCACGGGGTGTATAAGTTTATGAATGAAATTTTACGCTGACCTTGGAACAGCGCATTGTGGTTGCGTCAGTGCCCTGAAAAGGGGAAGTTTTCGAAGTCAACCCTAGAACAAAGCCACCGAAATATACTCGATTTAACAGGCGCATACTCACCAAATCCCGAAGCGTTTGTCGCGACTTCTCGCTGGCCATTTTCATTCATGAAAACTTCGGCTAATTTCATGAATGGTTCTTTCCATTTTCGATTTCAAGGACACAACGCTCCTTAGGCATGGCGTCCTTATCGATTTTCCCTTTCGCATTTATGTTCATTTCCCATTTGCTTTCAGCGTGGGCGCAAATACCTATGTACGTTTTTTTCTTTTTGTTAAACAAAATTTGTGAAGATTTGTTTCTCCTCCTTGGGCATTGAATTTAAGGCGAGCTCCATTGGGAATTGATTTCTTTGATTTCGGTTTTGTATTCCTGCATTTGTGTAAGAAAGGACTAATAATTGCTCAATATGCTGAACATTATTTTAAAATGTAATTTTAATAAAAATCTAATCTTACAGCTTTTCTATTCACATTCATTTTGCAAAAATTTTAACTATTTTTTTTTAAACCCTTGCAGAGGGTATTATAATTTCAATCAGAAGTTTGCAACTTATTACACTAGGCGTGACAATCCGTTTCTACGCAAACTAGTCTCTCAGTTTTAAAGCTATCTGAATGAAACTTTCCCAAAAGTTGTCTTTCTATTGCAGTTAGTTTATAAGTAGGAACGAGCCGGATCGGACGACTATAGCATATAGCTCCCATAGGAACAATCAAAAAAATAAATAAAAAAAAATTATTACTTTGCTGTTTCTTTATTTTTTTTTAAGTTCTGCGACATATAGTAATGGTTAAATATTTCAGAATTACGGTTTAAATTTCATCAAAATCGGACGACTATAGCATATAGCTCCCATAGGGACAATCGGAAAAAAAAATACAAAAAAAATTATAACTTTGTTGTTTTCCAATTTTTTTTGTATTTCTCCGACATATAGTATTGGGTAAATGTTTTAGAAATGCGGTTTCAATTTCGTCAAAATCGTACGACTATATCATATAGCTCCCATAGAAATAATCAAAATATAATATATCTATCAAATTATTCAGTTGCAAATCAATGTTTTCAACATATACGCAAGTAAATCATAATTTTAATGTTTTCAAAAGTATTTAATGCTTGCAATAGTTGCAAGGGTATATGAACTTCGAATTGCCGAAGTTTGCTTTCTTTCTTGTTTAATTTGATCTTTAAAACTGAAACCAAGCCACTCAATGCTTACATCGGAAATTTTAAATTTTAAAGCAAAAAAGTGGCTTTGAAAATCGAAATAAGTATCTTTATAAGTAAAAATATTAAGAACTTTATAGATTTATAGTGATATCTATAATTATTGCATAAATGCATTTAAACTCCAAAAAGTAGGCCAATAAATGTGTAGTTCCCCTGTAGTTTACAAAGCTGCCTGAACTAGCAGTTCAAAACATTTCACAAAATCTTCAACTGCAGGCATCGCCAAAACGATGCGGCATAGTTTATGGGGAGCAATATGAAAAAAGCTTTGACATCCGGCCGGCAGCCCTTGGCCTGCGTTAAAAATAGTCTTGAGTATGTTCTCAGGGATAGGGCCACGGACACACTATATTCACCAGTTTTTTTTTATGAATGAAAGCACCACACCCAGCTGTACCAGGGCACTGCTTTACCTTGCTCTTGACTGTCTCTCGGCCCCATTGTTTATCGATTCCTTCTCCGGATCCGGCTCCAGCTCCGGACCTGCGCACTGCCGCCAAATAGATACAGATACCTATACCTATATCTATACCTATACGTATGACTAAGGCCCCATCTGCTTATCGTTGACACATTGACGACAATGAGGTTTGTATGATGCAGCATGTAACTGTTGCTTCCCACTGACGTCATAAGAAGACTGATGGAGAGAGGGTCCCCTACATTGCATAAACAAAAAATGCCGTGACAAAACGCGAAACAATTAACAACAGGGATTATAATGGATATTCCGTTGGCGTGACCCAACTTCTAGTAATCAAATAACCCGTTTAAAAAGTGTATTTATTTAATTCTTAATGCTCATCAATTTTCATCACAAAATCTTTTATCAGGACCTTTTTAACTCATTAGGTTGTTTCATTATTTTAGCATGCTAATAGTATATTAAATTTATGGGGTTGGTTGTGGTCGTGGAAGTCTCTGTCCCGGTTTATTCAGGTCTCTTATTGGGCCCCAACAGAGTTTTGCTACGGTTTCTATAAGGCCACAAAAAGAAAAGCCAGAATTCCCAAATAGAGCTTCATGATGAATCAAGAAGGTCCGAAAAATGTTCCCTATAAATAGCTGCTAAATATATGGAGTAAATGTCAAATAAACCATTTCAAATCGCAATTGCTAAACGTCTTATTTTAATATGCATCATATATATATATATATATATATATATATATATATATATATATATATATATATATATATATATATATATATATAGATTAAATACACGTGCAAAAAAAAATATAAAAATTGCTACTATTCCAATGCTCCGTTGAAAAATTATTAAAAAAAATACTTATTTTTGATTTTTTAAAGACTTACATATGTTGGGATCTAGGAATAATTTTTGTAGTGTTGTTCATGTTGTTAGAAAAAACTTTAAAAACGTTTTAAGTAAATAAAGCTACAGACAAGAGGAATATCTAGTTGAAGAATGTTTTTAAATACTTGTCACGCTACCTTAATATACCATAATAAATAATACAACATTAACAAAAAAATCGTCACGATTTTTTACGTCGTTAAGAGGTGTTTTCGTTTGTGTTTAATAACCCAGCGAAATAGTTAAGACTGGGATAAACTCTTAGTTATTTTTTTTATTTCTGAGCTTTGAGAGCTTCTAGTGTCAAAAGATCAGATTACTTTAATTCCACTGGTGGTGAAGTCCTGGAACCACTCGAACTGTTCCAGCCAGTGCTGAACTGTGCCCCCGAGGACGTACAAACGCACCGGCACGTAATCCAACTCCTCGGCAAGTTCGTCAGAGGTCTCCCGCTCGTCATCAGAGTCCTCGTTCGACAGCAGGACATCCACCGCGATGAGGCAGTGCAGCAGATAGATCAGACTGGCCACCAAGGTGGACGTCGCCTGGGCGCGCATATACTGAAAGTACGGATGCAGTGGCTTCTCCGGCAGGATCAGATCCTCCGGCTTTGTATCGGCGTACAGAATATAGAAGTCCGACTCGGCATCGCGCAGTATCATCAATGAGCAGACCGTGTAGACGATGAATCCTGCAAGCGGACGAACCACCTCCTCGACGATCGAAGTATGGTTTCCGGTGCACAGGTTTATGGAGGCAAAGAGTGTCAGCACCGTAAATATGTAACAGAAAACCAGATACAAGTGGTGTCCTAAGTTGTCGATCCTAGTCCATCCTTTCAGATGCACGAAGATCACGAACATGTTGACCATTGTTTCAATCATGTAAAAAAGGAACAGCACCGGGCGCATGTGATATATGTAGACTCGCATTTTCACAGTCACTTTGTAGCTAGAAAGAACTGACTCGGTATTTGCGACAGATTTCAGATATAGGAAACAAGTTAAAAATTAACTGCAATTATTTCAAAACAACTATGTTTTACAATTTGGAAGCATGACAAGAACCAAGATTCGTATAAGCCTTGTATGAAAGTATTTTATTTTTTAAAATAAAGACCGGAATATGGTCTCTATAAATGAGCCCACCATAAATATTATGAAGTTTTCCTAAAATAAAAAGAAATCCTCATTTTGATTGAGTAAGTTCGTAAATGAAGATGTGGAGAAAATACTAATTTAAGTAAACATTTACTTTCAACTATTATTATTTCTCATTTTTTTCGCAGGTTGAGAGACTTGTCTCTTTAAATGTTATGCTAAAAATTTAATAAGATCGACTTAAAACAAAATTCGGATTTTACATCTGCAAGAATTTGCTTATAATTTTTTTCTATCTGCAAAGGGTCGACAAATGTACTCTGTTCAGGTATTGATGCTTCTCTTTACCGAACACTACAGACACGCTTTTGTTGTGGCCCCGTCCTCTCGGTTGGAAAGTTCTAATAGTATATTAATTTCGTTTTGGTGGTTGTCGTCGTGGTAGTGGAAGTCTTTGTCCTGGTTTATTCCACTCTCCTATTGGGCCCCACCAGACTTGGTCTTTGGTGTTTTCAAAGGCCACAAGAAGAAAAGCAAGAATTCCCAAATAGAGCTTCATGATGAATCTAGAAGATGCTGTTTTTTAAGCGAACTTTTTCGAAAAATGCTCCCTATAAATAGCTGCTAAATATATGGAGTTAATTCAATTACACCATTTCAAATCGCAATTGCTAAACGGCTTTTTTTTGATATGCATCATATATATGGGTCATTATATCATAAGCGTGCAACGTGTTTCAATTTTACATATTACACATTATATAGTGAACGCTACATTTGGCAAAAATGAGTTTATTTATAGGGCAGATTGGATATCAAATTAAGTGATGCGCAGCACGGGAGTATGCATGGAAGGTGTCGGAAGTGTTCCTCTCGTCATCCGAGTCCTCGTTCGACAGCAGGACATCCACGGCGATGAGGCAGTGCTGCAGATAGATCAGACTGGCCACCAAAGAGGACGTCGCCTGGGCGCGAAAATAGTGAAAGTAGTAGTAATGCTAAAAATTTAATAAGATCGACTTTAAACCAAATTCGGATTTTACATCTGCTACTTGCCTATAATTTTTCTATACTACTCTGTTCAGGTATAGATGCTTCCCTTTGCCGAACACGACAGACACGCTTTTGTTGCGCCCCCGTCCTCTCGGTTGGAAAGTGCTGCTTGGGCCGGCTCATCTCGCCATAAAAAAAACTACTTCACGTTGGCTGCTGGTGCTTCTGTGGCTTCTGTTGTCGGACGAACTGCGTCTGGAAACAGTAGCAACATTTGCCTGCCAGTTTGATGCTGTCGACTGCTGTTGACGGCGATTACGTTGATGACGCGAGACCGCAACGAATTTACGCGCAATTCTCCACCGTGCTTCAGCTCAAGTGCCGAGAGGTAGCCCAAGCGGTAGAGTAAGCATTTAAATAAATGTGTAAATGTGTACACACGACCCGGCAGTGCAGCGCCAAAATGTTAGCACACCTGACCTGCGATTTCGAAATTCTAAAACTCCATATGAAATAAAGTTTTGCTCTAAAATTTATTAAAAACATGACAAAGACTTATTAAAAATTGGCACAAGGGTTGAGTACTTATGTACTTTAAGCTTTAGAATTTGTTAATACATTAAAAGGTGTTTTGATTCAAAGCTCTAGGTGTAATTTTTACTTGGGCCTCTAAAAATTTTCAAGGTAATCTTTTGAAAATTCATGACATATTTCAACATTAAATAATTTGTTTGATAAATAAACATTAAGTTTATTTAAATGTATAATTTTATGCTTATGGTTTTTCCGTAGAAATTAAATTTTTGTTATATACTTGCTTAGGAATCGAATATTTCTTTTAGGGTGTAGATTAATCTTTGTTTTGGCCAAAAGCTACAAGAACGTCAGGAAACATAAAAAAATCAGAGTCAGACATTGTTGTTGTTGTAGCCACTGGGTGTGCAAAGTAAAAGGGTTAATTCATTTGGCCATTTCAACTGCGTCATCTCTTTGTGGCTTCTTAACATAAGAAAAAATCCTGAATGCCGCTGCAATTTTGACAAGCGAACACACCGCGTCTTAGCGACTTTAAGTGCAACAACAAAAGAGGGCAGCTGCTGTATTATTTGTTCCTTCTTTTTCTGTTTATCCCTTTGAGATTCCAGGGATTGAAACTTTTTTTAAGTACGCTTAAGCTCGTGTGCCCTGCGCAGAAAGTATGGGAGGTTTATTTATTTATCCGATTTTAAATTTTTGATTTACGCTCTTTTTTCACTTCTTCGCGGCAGCCATCTTGAAAGGAAATTTTATTTAGTCCAATATAACAGGACTACACGACCGAAAGTTAACCAATTAAAAAGCAAGAGCTTTATCACATTTGTACTTACATTAAATTTTTAAAATTTAGTAAATCTATTTAGATGGTTAATAATTTATGTTTTGTTGTGATTACGACATAACGAAATGAAAGAAACAATTTCAAGACTCTGCTAGAAAACAAAATAAAAAAAAAACTTATTTATAAAAAAAATATATTTATTATTATTGAGCAAATATATAATTTATTTTACAAATCTATATTTGATTTTTTTTTTTGCTTTATTGATTAATAGTAATTCTTAAACAATACGCGAAATAATTTTTTCCATCATTTAATAGGCCAATCCAATTTAATTTTGCGCATTATTGTACCTAGCTTTGCCCCACAATTATATAGGCCGTTGGATGTGTTACGTAAGCGTTCGCAGCACTGCAAATTGCTGGCGTTACGCCCATCCCAGGGGGCATGGCTGTGGCCACATGCCATTACACGCGGCTAAATGCAAGTGCATAAATAACAATTACAGCTGCAACTGCATCGGCGGCAGCCACAATAATAGCAATAATAGTCAACTCGGCCGCTCAGGTGTCAATTGGGGGCCGCGCTGACCGCCGGCCATTTTGCAAAAGCGCATTCTGCCGCTCGCCATATATCGGCATATAATGCCCGTTGATTATTATGTTTACACTATATGCGGGCTAAGATTGCCGGTCCCGGTAATGATCCCGGACCGGTCAAATCTCAATGCAAATCAACGGCAATTAATAATTCATAGCCCGCTGGGCCTCCTCCTTCCACGGCGTCCGAATCCGATGGCAATTATGCGCCACCCCGATGGCGGGAGCAATGGTTTCCATAGGAAAGAGTAGTGAGAGGGTGGTTTGGGAAACACACACACACACCTCTTAAGATTTTCTGGAAAACAAATCTGAAATTCCAAATGTTCCAAAATTCCTAAGACCACCTGTATTTGCTCTATTTGGTTTAGATTTCACGCAACAGGCTGATCTTTATACATATGTTTCTTCAACAAAATATAAAAACCATCTGAAACATAAATAATTTTAAGCCAAAGTTTTCTCAGGGTTGTATTTTAATTTTTTAAAGGATTAACTCAAATATGTGATAATAAATAATAATACTTATTAAAATTTTAAAAAATTTAAGGTGAACAATAGAACATAACGAAAACTCCACAATCCATCCTCGCATATCTAACTAAATCTTTGCCTATATTCAATAAAATAAATTAAATATGCAAAATAGCCGGACAACAGCCGCAGCAGCATTACAAACTGCTCCAGTGGCCGCCTGTCGTCCAATATCAGCAAATTTGCAATAAAATATTTGTCTGGCCGTCGCTTTCAGTGGATCGGAGTGGTGCGAGTGGTGCGAGTGGTGTGGTAGGCCAACAGTGGGTCGTCGAGTGGTCGCCGCCTGGCTACTGCAAATTATTTATTTGCACCTTTCGCCGCCATCGTCTGACTGGCCTCCTTCCACCCCGCTACTCCACCACGCCCCACCACGCCCCACCTCCCCCGACCTCCTCAAGCTCTATTCTCTTTCTCCCGCGAACTGCATTTCCATTTGCTTATCAAATCGCTTGCAATCGGCAGAGTGAGAAATGCAGGGCAAATATAAATATTAGTCGGCTGGAAACGGGTGCCATATGCACTGAAAAAAATAAGCCAAATTGATCATGTTTTCAGAACGGCAAGGATTTTAAATCCATTTCTTTTCTGCCAAATCGCTTTATCCGAGAAAAACTTGTCTGATCATAATCACATTTATGGTATAAGATAAATACATAACTCATTTTGATATAGGAAATCATTTAATATTAAATCCTTTAAAAAAAAATGGTTGCCACTTTTGAACGAATGGTCTATGTTCTCAAATATTGGTAAATTCATAAGATTGACTATCAGCACATCAGATTTTCTTTCTGTGTGGCAGAGGGGGACGCGATCTAAGACTGGCGTATGAAATTAGGCGCTGCCAATGCGCCGCCAGCTATTTCGACCTGTCCGATGCATGAAAAGTGTGAAAACGAATTAGTGGCCGAGCTCAGGGATCTGGCCAAGTCGGATTCCCCACTCCGAAACTGGCTCAGAGTCGCACCGACTGAAGCAATGAGGGCCGAGGGCAGACAGAGGTCGCAAAAGTTATTATGGTAAGAAAAGCTTTTGTGATTTTAGAGCGAGACGTGTTCGTAAAATCAGTAGGAAAGAGGCGTGTTAGGTCAAATATCAAGTTATATTTATGTATGTAAATACAATTTTTTTAAAACACTTTAAATATTCTTTGACAATGTTCTGGACGAGGAAATGGCCAACAAGGAGATGAACCGAGAGTTACCTCTCAAGCTAGGGACCTTTTTCCTAGGCACCAAAATCGCAAATTTTATCCGGGTGCATCCTGATAAAGTGCATAAAGGGATTATCCAAGTAAAGTGCAAGTCCATCATCTACATCCGACAATGACATGGGCTTCTTAAGCGATGACGATGGGGACTCGGATTTCGATCATCCGTCGTGGCCCTACGACAGTGACTTTGGAGACTGTGTTGGTTTTCGAATTTTTGGATACGCTATGGATTGATTGTCAATTTATCTCAACAACCACTAAATGAAAATATTTAGTGAAAAATCATACAACTTTATTTTTATACCCTTGCAGAGGGTATTATAATTTCAGTCAGAAGTTTGCAACGCAGTGAAGGAGACATCTCCGACCCTATAAAGTATATATATTCTTGATCAGCATCACTAGGCGAGTCGATCTAGCCATGTCCGTCTGTCCGTCCGTCTGTCCGTCTGTCCGTCTGTCCGTCTGTCCGTCTGTCCGTCCGTTTATATGCAAACTAGTCTCTCAGTTTTAAAGCTATCTGCATGAAACTTTCCCAAAAGTTGTCTTTCTATTGCAGGTAGTATATAAGTCGGAACGAGCCGGATCGGACGACTATAGCATATAGCTCCCATAGGAACAATCGGAAAAATAAATGAAAAAAAATTATAACTTTGCTGTTTTTTAATTTTTTGTTTAGTTCTTCGACATTTAGTAATGGTTAAATATTTCCGATTTACGGTTTAAATTTCATCAAAATCGGACGACTATAGCATAAAGCTCCCATAGGAACAATCGGAAAAATAAATGAAAAAAATTATAACTTTGCTGTTTTTCAATTTTTTGTTTAGTTCTTCGACATTTAGTAATGGTTAAATATTTCCGATTTACGGTTTAAATTTCATCAAAATCGGACGACTATAGCATATAGCTCCCATAGGAACAATC